TTCCCTTCCCTTCCCTTCCCTTCCCTTCCCTTCCCTTCCCTTCCCTTTTTTCCAGCATTTTTCAGGGATCAGACCCCATTTCCACGATCCAGGCTGATTTTTGTCACCCCACTCCTTCCCTGGATGATTTCCCACCCCTGGCTGCTGATTCCCAGCTCCTCCTGCAGCTCCCAGGCTGGAGAGGATTTCCAGAGGGACACTGAAACACAAGATCCTGGAATTCTTTCTGCTCACACTCCCAACAAAGGGGGTTTTGGTGTGCTCTGGATTCAGGGAGAAAATCCCAATGTGCTCAAGCTTCCTGGGATCAGGGCAGTGAATTCTTTGATGGTGCAGGGCCCTCAGTGTGTTGGAGAAACCTCCAGGGCTCAACATTCCTCCATGGGAGAGAAAAGATCAGGAAAAGGGAGGGATGGAGACATCCCCAAGGTCTCCCCCATGTGCTGGCTTGTCAGCAAACCTTTCCAAGCCAGAGCTGCCAGTTGTTATTTGAATCCCTTTCCCAAGGCTGTCCATCCCCAAAATCCACAAACAAGACACCCAGAGCAGAAATTTGGGAAGGGTTTGGGAGCAGAATTTCCTCATTTCCTCCCCTCAGCAAACCCGAGGGAGGGCTGAGGAGCTTCACTATTGGATTCTTTGGGAAACAAAATCCAAGTCCTGGCATTCCAACTGCTCTGGGCCTGGCCATGGCCATGGAATGGGACATTTCAGGCCATGGAATGGGACATTTCAGGCCATGCTGTGGCTGCACAGCTCCTCTGGCTCTCCACTGTCCCAAAATTTTACTCCTGGACATCCAGAACCTCTCAGAGCCCATGGGACAAATTGGGCTAAGGACAACCGAAAAGGCTGGAACACATCCCAAGGTTTCTCTTCCTCCACAGGGATTTATGGTCCCTCAGGGCACAAATATCCCTTTTTTTTCCTTTGGCACAAGTTTTGCTCAGTCCCAGCACTGCTCCAGTTTGATCCCTTCACCTCCATGCAGGTGTTTGCTGTCATTCACTTCCCAAAATATCCAACTCCTGGTCTGGGCTCAACAAAATGCAACCCCCACTCCACCTCCTATGAAAACAAAAACAAAAAAAAAATATTTAGAAGTCTCTATTAGAAACTATCAGTTATGAGGAAAGTTGTACCTGCAGTTGAGAGGTTTATAAATAAATCTGGGTGCTGCTGGGACAACCCCACTGCAGTCCCACTCCTGCCACCCCAAAAAATGGGACAACAATTTTTGTCCCAAAAACGGGACAAAAATCCTGGAGAGAGTAATTTGTAGAAAATGTATGGAAGATGATCAGTAATGTCAGGACTCTTGTCTACAAATTGAGCATTAAATGTGTCAAGTCTGGCTGGCTGCTGTGCATATTTCAATTTTAAGAGCATGCAGATACACAACATTGAATTGAGGAGTCTGAACCACCAGTGCTCCCATACAGAGAAATCATTTCAGATCACCATAAAATATTATTGGAATGTAGCAGCTTTTAAGCCTTATCACATTGAAGGGTACTGTGGACTTGGTGAGACTTTTACTTGTATAATCATTGAGAATCTTGTTGCATTTCAGAGTTGAATTTTAAAAAAATATTAAAAATGTGCAGTCCTCCACTGAAAACTAGACCCATGGTAATGTAGAATGTGACAGAATCTTTTCTTGGGAGGAAATTGATTACTTCTTATTAATTCTGCTTTGGTGTCCAAAAGCTCAAACAAGAAGTTATTGGGGTAAATTTAAAAAGAAAAGCCCAGACAATGTGGCAGGAGAGTTCCTGCTGTGCAAACCCAGGGCACCAGGAATATTTCTGTGTCTGCTCTGGGGTGCCCTGACCCCCAGGGCAGCACTGACTCTGACCCTCATCCATGGAGAAAGTTTCCCAGACTTCAACATAAACTAGGATCCACAAAAGTGTGAAATAGATTCTAGAGAGCAGTGCAGGTGAATCACTTGGTGAGAAATTGAGGTTTTGGGGTTTTTAGTCTGTTGTGGATGGCAGCAAGATGGAGGGCACAGGGTGTTGTCCTGGGTTTCTTCTTCATGCTGCTTCTTCCTTCTTCTCCATGGGTTTGGGTGGCATTTTGTAACTGGGCAGAAAAGTCCCCATTGCAGCTCT